GTCCAGGACTTGGACAAGATGTTGTTGATGTCCAGGACAAAAATTCATTATAAGAGGATATATGATTTATATATAATATTAATAAATTGGACAATGTTTTGGACGGGACAGGATGGGACAAATGAAATTGGACTTGGACAGGACATTAAAATTTTGTGGGACACTGTCCCGCCACATCACTGGCATAACGCCTTGGAATTCCGGGACACGTGATCGATCATTTTTCATAGTGCGTAGACATATAGTCCTTCCGGACAATTACTGTTAAATGTCTCTAATAAAAATGTAAAATATTTTTCTCGAATTATATTAGAGATATGGCAAATGATCTTAAATTTTTTAGATAACTTGTATTTATTGTTTATCTTTAGTCTTTACCCACTAAAGCGCAAATTTATGATCTGCTTAGAGTTATAACTTATAGTAATTACTAGCTACGTCACATTCAGGGTTCATCTTAACACTTTATGTATTAAAAAAGGTTTATTGTTCCGAATTTACTGTATACTGTATGTTAGTTAATAATTTTTAATTTTTGAAAATAAAGATTTTTGTAACTCTTAACTGCCAGTATTTATTGTCTTTATCGCGTTTATTTGCAATAGACCGATTGAATATCAACTGGATTGTCTGAATTGTATATTCCCGACGTTGTATAAACATCTATCTCATGAGTTAACAGTTATTACTAGGAAAACGGAAACCGTTAAAGTCCGTCGCGTTTATTTACTCAGTATATTTTTTTATTACAACATAAAAAATAGCAAGTTGTATCACCAAATAAAATAAGCGGTGTTTTGAAATCATCAGTGTTACAAAGAAGGTATTTTTATTTTTATTTTAAGTTTCAACGTGAACTAAGCCACGGAACAAATGTTACAGGCTGATATGTGAAGGAAGGAAAATCATTGCCAACAAAATCGTCTAATGCTAACCTCTCCGGAGTCCGGACAATAAATGTATGATCGATCCGATCCGACGGCTGACAGATCATCACGTGAAAATGTGAAATCAACGCATTATCGATCTGCTTCGTACATCAATTTCCAAATTAGAGTTTCCGATGAAATTTTCTGATTCTGAAAAAATAGTTTCGCCTGCTCATAAAGCCACTTCTTTTGATAAAATCTCATCACATCAGTACTTACGTATATCATAAATTAATTTACAAAAATTATTTTATGATATATTTACGGAAGAATAACTAAAAGGCAACTTGGATAATTTTCATGTTTTGAGTAGAGGCTGGATCCGTTATCCGTTTGAATCTTCAGTTGGATAAATAAATATTCTTTGCGGAATTGATGTTTTTTAATCATAAAAACTTTATTTCGATTTTATATATAGCAATAGATTCGCTATACACAATTTTCACTTTGGATATACGTTTATCCGGATATTAAAATTCTTAAATCAATTACTACAACATTACGAAAATAAATTTTTAAAACTTTGTCATTATAGATGATGGCTTAATGACTACCCGCTAATCTGCGGGTCACTATCTACAAATTTTAACGATCTTTAAAATTATTAATATCCGTTCAAACAACGGATCTCTACCTCTAGTTTTGAGGCTTTAAATTTCGTGAACATATGGAATAAAAAATAAAATTTTTATAGGGATTAAATAATGAATAAATAAAATAATAATAATAATAAATACGCAAAATAGGGCTGTTGTTTTTATGGCTTATACAGTACGATCAGCGGATCAGGCGCTAGTAGTGCGATAGATAGGGTAGATAGGTAAAGGTATCAACAAGATAAAAAATCACGAAATCGGGTCGATCAATTGATCACACTTGCATTGCCCTAATACAGCCATATTTCCGTATGGTAAATTTCTTTTATTGGAAATTTCATGGCTTTTTATTAATAATTTTTATTACAAAAAGAACCAAAAAAAAAAAAAGAAAAATTTCGCGTCAAATATTTTTCTTTTAAATAAGACTTGAATTCCAAAATTTTCCAAACCAAAAAAAAAAATGAACCGTTTAAATAAATTCCTAATAATAAAATATCAAAAAATGAATATTTACCAATTTGCCAGTCCACTGCAACTTATTATGGCACAATTAAATAATAAAATTCATTATTTAAAAAATGAATTTAATTACAAATTAATTCAGTATTTAAAAAATAAATTTAATTACGAATTAATTTGTTTAAATATATATTTATATTCTTTTATTGTGTAAGTATCTTATTATAATTTTATCATTATTATTTATTAATTTCATCTTTTAAGATTCCTTTTTACTTACATTTTACTTATTAATAATTTTTTATTGATATTGCATAATCTCAGTTTGACCCATGCCTCAAGTTCAACCTCAACCTAAAGACAATAATTATGGTAATTATGGGTTGGACGGGGCATTGGTATTAATATGGAGGAATTATTCTCCATATTAAAAATGAAATTATATTTAGATACATGGGGAGGTATTAATATGGAGGAATTATTCCCCATTTTAAAATTGATTATATTTAGTATAGCATATTGACATTTATATAGGGCGGGGATATTGAGGTATTAATATGGAGGAGTTATCCCGCATTTCAGATGAATTATATTTAGTATAGCATATATTGACATTCTATAAATTTATTAATAAAAAAAAGTTTTTCTCAAATAATTCGAATAAAAAAATTGTGTTATAATGTAAAAATTCCACCGTGTAACATTAGAAACGATCGGAAATCACGATCAAATTTTACGTCGATATGATAGATCCCACAGATCCGACCATGGTATTAAAATAATAAGAAGAACTACCTAACGGCACCCAGAAAAACAAAGTGATTTCACCTACTCGAAAAAACTAACTGTCTTTCAAATAAATAGTAAGAGCGAGGGTGTAAAAAAAAAAGATCACGTGATCTCTGGAAGAAGTTCAATCAACATGACTCAAATGCATCTTCATTCCGGTTACGCGATACATTATTTCAGGTTTGACGAAAATTTTATCTTCATAGATTTAATTCATCAATGTATTTATTTAGGACATGAAGAACTTTCAATTAAGGAGAATTTTAGGTACAAAGTAATTATTGAAGTATGGAATTTTTTTTTTGTTAATAACACGCATTTCTTTATTAGTTGTTTAAAGTTAGTACTTTTAAATCTACCTATTAACACAATACGTTATTACTATTGGAGTTAGCTAAAAGTACTTTATACGTATTGCTCCAATTGTTATCATGAGATCTGTTTATCAAATGCTGTTTCTACTATTTTATTTTCTAAAATGTATGTGTAATGTTTTTTATTTTATCATCCGTTATTGTTGTTTTTCGAAATTTTCTAATCCGTCACTATAAAACCCATAATTTATCTTTCCTTGTCTTTTTCAATCTCGACTACTTTATCACACCTCCTATTCCTCCTATTCCAGATGTATTTCTTTAACTTGTATACCAAATGTTCTCTACTATTTCCATTTCTTCTTTAGATTTTGCCATCTTTATAAAGCTATGTTTTCTGTTATAATAAACTTTAGAATTTTTCTTGATTATCGTAGAGTAAAAACCAGACAACTATTTGATAATCTGTATCTGTACTCTTTAAAATATTGTATTACAATTTTTTTTTATATTTTTTAAAATAAAGTGACCCCATAAACAGATAAACTCCCAGGTAAACGATCATCAAAACACTTGCTCTTTTTTGGTTGTGATCTCCCACTCTTATGAATTCGATGAATTCGATGGCTTTTATATATATATATATATATATATATATATTTTTTTTTAAAAAAAAATAAAAAAAAATTTTTAACGCATGTTACGCAAAATTTCAGATGACTGAAGTAACAATTCTTTTAAAAGTAATTACCATGAAATTTTGGATCTGCTTAACCAAAATAGGAAAAAATTTTAGTGTTCTTATTTCTTAGAATACTAGCGAATATAGATTAGGATTTCTGGATCATAAATAAAAAAATCTTTTTTTTTTTTGTATCAAGAGTCGAAAGAGTAGAAATTTTTTTGTTTGTATAAATAAAATTATCTGATACTTTTTTTGGAAAAAAAATCATCTTATCATTTTCACCTTAGGTTTGGGAATTGGTTACGAAAATTTAATATGAAAGTATTAATAAAAAAAAGTTGTGGATCAGCAATTTGCGTTAGAGGTGGTGCATTATTTGCTACAATTGTTAGGAAAACGTATACAAATTAGTCAATTTATTTTAATTTATTAGGGCAATCATTGTATTAAAGCATTATATCGATCATATTACCATCGTGTATTGACTTAAGTGACTAATAAATTAGTAAGTCTGTCTTCCTCTCGTGTCTTGTACTGTAACAATATCATTAGATTCAAAATTCGCTAAATAATAATTTGAATCACAAATGAAGAATTTGATCCATCCAATATATTTTATTTATTCACAAAATATACAATCCAAAATATACAATTAAAGGGAGAAATACAAAAGAGGTTATGACTTACGGTGTCCGGTCCGATGATCCTTCTTAGTCCAGTCATGTCAATTTTTAATACAGTCATGTCCGGATCATCGGATTATGCGGTTATTCGCTTAAAATTACTTGGGATTGATTGTTTTTTTTTGCTATTCAGAGTTGTTAAAAAAAAATTTTTTTTTTTTTTACTAATTTGTTGTAGATTTTGTAATAAATTTTTAGCACAGTCATATGAATTTTTTGATGCAGACCGAATTTAAACTTTGATCGGACTTCGCTACCATCGGACTCGAGTTAACTGTTCTGAGTCCTGTGATTTTTGATCGGATTTACATGACGATATACATTTTTTTTTTTTTTTTCTTGTATTAGCTTGTCAGAAAGATCATCGGATCGGACTCAGTAAAGATATACCCATATAAAACAAAAGAAAGTTATTATATAATATTAGTTTTATTAAATTTATTAATTCGTTCTACAAGGCCCCCTTCCACTTTAAAGATTTTCCTTTTTTTTAAAGCGTTTTTTTTTTCCAATTTGACTTATATACAAAATAGAATCGGTACCGTTATGGATAAATGTAAGTAATTAATTAAATAAAATAAAAAATTCATAATATTTATATTAATTACAAATTATATGTTGCATCATGTTATCTGTTATGTTTTACGTTAGCGTCAAACTTCGACAAAAATTTGACAGACTTTATCGGGTTTAGATCAGGCCGGCATTATTGAACAAAGTTTAATTATGATCGCGAACTTTATAATTGATAATATTTAAAAAATAAAAATATATATATATATATATTTAAAATATTTAAAATATTTAATCATAAAAATTTTATTTATTTTTTTTATAAAAAAAATAATTTACAACCAAGAAATTAAATCTTGGCCTTCATCAAGATTATAGCTACATTTTGAATTACAAGGTCCAAAAAAGTCCATGAGTTCCATGGACACATGAATTTTACGACTATTTCTATTTGCAATTCCACACAGTACATCATATGCTATCCAAGGAAATGAAAACATCCTCTTAGATGGGTCTACATCCAATTCAGAAGGATGATATGTCACAAAATACCAAGCGCTTGCTTTAGATTCCACCCTACTATGATCCTTATTAGATTCCCATTCTTGGTCAAATAATTTTTTATAATGTCGTTTAATTGGAATTAACGCTTCCATCACAGATTTGGTTACATCGCGAGGTTTCTTTTTATCGATATTCGTAATAGTATTCACGATATATCCACTTGTTACTTCAATTTCATTATTAATTCCGAATTGATTCATGAGTCCTCTTATGTTAGCATCATACTCTCGTTTTAACTTTCTTGCATCATCTAAAAATTCTTCGAACCCATCTGCATATAATCTTTTATCGAAATTTTTTACATTTAAAGGGGTATACTCTTCTGATACATTAATAGAGCGATATAAAATACCCAGAACTTTATTTGATTTATATGATTTTTTATCAGATTTTTCCATAAAATCTGGAAATTCATCAGCGCGAAGTTCAGGTGGAAATACTGGTGGTGTTCCCGTTTTAGGGTAATCTACGGCACCAGAATGTAATTGTGCCAGACGTATACATTTCCCATTTAATGCACCAACATCGGAAGAATCTGCTTTCGCTAAATGAGCGTTCGCGATCAATTCGAGTTTGTCCGAAAACAGATAGTTTACGAAGAATTTTTTGATGTCTTCTATCGTTACACTTTGAATTTCATCCTCATTCTCATCTTCATTCTCTAACATTCTTGGTTTTCTATTCTGATTGATGTTCATAGGCTCATAAGCCTTAATAGGGATTAAACGCTCATCATATATTATACTAAATTAAAATTAAAAAAAAAAAATTTGTCAATAACTTAAACAACTTCAAAGTTTTAAACAATGAGAAATAAAGATACATACGTGAAATCATCACCATCTAGATTCCCACCGCTACACTCACTAGGAATATCACGATAACCAAGGGATGGGAATACTATTACATCTACTAAATGACTTAAGGCCTTACATTTTACAGCTGTAACTATACGTATATCTCCTGGGTGAAAGCAGGAATTTCGATATACAATACACCTTCCAGTTATTACCTTTTGATTAGATGGATTACCTGGGTCAGATATACAACAATAAATTTGATTTTCTTGTAAAGTATCGGTAACATCCAAGACGCCTAATAAGAATGCCCCTTTATCAATGCGAATTTTTGCTTTTTTCTTTATGTCCCTTAGCATCATGATACGAAATAATGATATCAAATTCATTAAATAATGATCATTATTTCTTAAAAATCCCGCTTTGACAAGATCAGCAAGTGAGGTTGAAATTCCATATTCATCAACATTCCTTTGTAAAACTTCCAACGCCGTATGTTCACTTTCAAGCATTTTATCCAATTCCCTAACTCGTAAATCTTTTAAATCAATAAATACTTCATCAGGAATTCCTAATGCGGACAATAATGTAATCGCCTGACGATTAAGATATGCTGAGATGAATGTAGAACTTCTGACAACTTCCAACTCATTATGATTTGATTCAAATTTATGTTGACTAGGACGAACTTGAAGTTTATTATTTTTTACATGAGCTGACTGACATAAAACACCCTTATACCCAGCCATTCTAAATTGAAATGCACTTGGAATAGTATTTAAATCTAAATCACGAGCAATCTTCCTTGCTAAAGAAAAAGAGATATTCCCTGCCCCATCAGAAAAATTGAAACCATTCCTAACTATATCAGGAATTACTTTAATGTCATTAATAGGTAGCTTTTGAATAGCACGAGTACTTGAAAAACACTGGCCCATTCGGGCAGCATATTTTGATACACTTTTAATTGTTGAAAAATTACCCATCCAACCTCTAACCATATCAGCAGTTAAACTACTAGTTGATGAAAAAAACCAACAACTATGATCTCTTAATTGACTAGAAGAGAAAGCCAAGAATTCGTAGTGCCTATTACCAATATTAATACCATCACGTAAAGCACGATAAACTCTATTATATAAAGCATCGTTAGAAGTATCACTATCAGATAAAGAAGACTTGATTTTACTTAAAGCCTCATCTACAAATTGGACACGTAAAAATTGATTTTCCGTATTACGAAACTGACGGATCACCCTATTAGAAATTTCCATTGTTGGAGGTAAAACATAATATGTAGTAGAAGTTATAACAACTTCATGCACCATATCACAATAATATGGTATATATTTAGCTCCATTATCTAATTTATATTTAAAATTCTCCAATTCCGAAAGTAAATATGTTAAAGGATTATAGATCCTTTTCTTCCTTGAATAAATACCTTCCAAAATATCAAGAGAGACTCTAGTAGGTTGTTGAGATAATAAAGAAAAGAATTCATCACAAAGGTTATACTCATTAAGGTAATTAAAAGAAATATTACATTCGACCATATAATCAACTTCAAATGTTAACAATGTACGGGTCCTAAAATGATTACTACGTAAACCAGGTCCTCTAACAATTTTTAATGAACAATTTCTAATGTTTGAATTTCTAGGAGCCAAATTATATTCAGCGGCATTCTCAATTAATTCTTTAAAACGACCAAGACCTTCAATGGAATTTCTACCAATTTGATCCAAATCAAAAGTTATTCTAAAGACGAGCCATTTACCAGGTTCTTCATTATCTTTATAATAACGAACACCACCTTTTTTAATTTTTGTATGAATTTCAGTGATTCGATTCCAAGAATCATCAATACACCAATTAACATCATATTTTGATGATTTCTTTTTTAATACCCAATATGTTGCGGGATATTTACTTTCTATAGTAATAAAACCACGAGAAGTTTGTTGAGAAGCGTCAAGCTCAGAATGAATATCATTAATTATATCCTTAAAATTGATTTCAAGCTTAAGAGTGTGCTGATCAAGACCAAATTCCACAATTATTTTTCGTGTTTGATAATTTATAAAAAATTCTACCGATTGAGTAAATTTAGCCTCAGATACAAAAACACCAGGTAGTGAATAATCACCCATTTCTAAACTTTCAGCAGAAAGAAATTTTGACTTTCGATTTCCAACAGTATTATAATCAGTGAAAGTATCAGAATTACTAGAACTAGTATCATCTTGATAATCGAGTTGTAAAATTCTTCCATGAAAGCGTACTTTACGATTCCAGAAAGCATAAGCGGGTAAAGGTCTAATTAAATAAATATTTTTAAAGAGATAAGTAAATGATAATTTAAAGGGTTGAAAAAGAATAAATGTAAAAAAAATACGTACTTGATTATGATACAAGCAATTAAATTTTCAGAATTAACTTCTTCAATTTTTACTCTATAAACATTACAATAAGTAGTAAAAGCATCCTTTATATCAGATATAGTAGCGCTAGGATTAAAATTACTAACTCTGAATTTCAATTCAGCAAAGTTTTTCCATTCACGAGGAGGATTAATTTGATCGTTGTTACATTTTTTATAATAACCGGATTTTCTAGACATTATGATAAAGTGAATAAATTTTATAAAGTGAATAAAATTTTATAAAGTGGATAAATTTTTATAAAGTGTATAAAGTGGATAAAATTTTTAATTTTTTAATTTTTTAATTTTTTTTTTTTTTTTTTTTTTTTTTTNGTATTGAGATGATGATCATACCCGATTTGAAAGAATGATTTTTTTTTCAATTAAATAATAATAATGTAATGATTAAGAGGTCTAAAAAAAAAATAATAATTTTTTTTTTTTAGATATAATACAAATTTGTTTAATATTTTATTGTTTAATATTGTTGTTTATCAAATATAAAAAATTCAATTATAGTTCAAAAAAAAAAGGTAAAATGGACAAATAATTAATATAAAAAAATTACGAATCAAAATTTGAGATTAACAAGAGATTTGAAATATTTCATATAATTGGTATTTCTTTAAAAATAGGATTTTTTTTTAGTAATTTAATTATAGAATTGCACCCTGACATGTTTCTTTTATATATTGAACAATGGACACCGAAATTATTAAATTAATAATCAAAATTACGAAAATAACATAAAATTTTTTTGTTTCATCATTGTCTTTACATTTATTATTATCTGAACGTAAAATTCTTTCGTCCCCGAACCAGTGAAAACTACTAATACATTTCGGAGAATCATTTCCCTTAAAATTTTTTGAGTTAATTTGCTCAGAATTCTTTTTTTTTTAAAAATGTTATAGTTCCGAAGTATATTATCGTAAAGACAATAACTTTAATCTATTTGGTAATCAATTGTACCTCTAATATTTTGTGTTACAATTTTTTTTATATTTTTTAAAATAAAGTGACCCATAAACTCCCCAGTCCCAGGTAATCGATCAACAAAACATTTGCAATGTATACTCTTTTTTTGGTTGTGGTCTACATGGTCTTTATGAATCGATATTTTTTTCATTTTATAAAATCATATTTTTTTTTTAACGCATGTTACGCAAAATTTCAGATGTAAATAAATAAATCATGCTTTTAATCCAAAATAGATTTTTTTTCTCGTGTTTAAATTGCAACCTCCTTTATTTTTATAAAAATTATAAATTATCGAAAAAAAAATTGAAATAATAAAAAAAATATCATATTAAAAAAAATGACTACATTTAATTAAAATATTCTAAAAGCTGAAATAAATTATATTTTTATTATCGAATTTATTGAAAAAAAAAAAAACTGGAATAAAAAAATTTATATCTTTTTTCATTAAATATCATAAATATCATATTAAAAAAAAATGACTGAAACTTACATTAATTAAAATATTTTCTCTCATTGAATTTGCTTTTTTTCTTTGATTAAAACTCCGATTATCACTCATCTTATCGTAGTAGTATAAAAAACTTGATATGTTTTTCCTATTTTGTATTTCCTGCGCATTGTCCATTTGTCCTACAATTTTAAATCATGTAATTTTGTTATTATTTTTTTACCATGAGTTTAAAACACCAAATATAGATTAACCTCCGTTACACCCGACGCGGGTTGCAGTTTTTTTTTTTTTGAAATTACTTGAATTACTTCTAGAAGTAAAAGTATTTTTTTTTCTTTCTTCATCTTTTTTTTTTCATATGATATTATATAATTTTATTTTTCTTACCTATTTCGTAAATGTAAAAGTAAATTTATGTCATTTCATTGGTTTCATTGGGCTGATTTTTTAAAAAAAATTGGTGAAACTAGTAAAATGGATTTCTCATTTGGTTAATGATCATTGCGAAGCCACTTTTTTTTTCATGAGAAAAAAAATTCTGATTACCATCATTTTGCTAACAAAATTCCCACCATGTCTGCAACTATTACCTACGTACATGATTCTACAGAACGTCTGGCTCATGATTACATGATCAAAGAAATCATAGCAGTTTTAAGAACTGATGATAATGATGCGACCAAGTGTCATCTCAAGGCTTTTATTCAATCTGACAATTTTGAAATGTCATATAACTGTTGAAAGAAAGTTTGTGAGAGGTATTCTGTAAGTATCCAAATTTTTTAATATGTGAATGATTATCTCTTCCTTTGCTGATTTCGCCTCTTAACAATGAAGATAGATGAGTGATAGACAGGAACTTCCTCTTGTGCAGAAGAACGGAAAGTGGTAAAGAAGAGACGTGAGGGAAAGAAACCTGGTAGTAGGTTTCTTACATGCTTCATAGGTAGGGTCGTAGGGACTCTTAAATTGTGAATGCAGTTAACGTAATATTGGGTACGTGTTGTTGTAAAGGGTAAGTAATTGATGGATCATGTTGTACAGTATTCAAGAAGCTTTTTCCGGAAATTTCCGTTCTGGAGCTTCTGATGGACGCGGAATTAGTAGTGGGATTCGTATTAGACTCATTTTTGTTTTTTAGATTGGTAGTAGTAACCTTTTCTTTATTCTCAAGTCACGTGCTTGCACGTAAAAAAATTTTTAGGTTCGCGATAGTTATAGTTTATAGGATAGTATAGATGGAATGTGTTAACTTAGTTAGATAGAAAAGGGTAAACCGATAGTTCTTAATTTAATTTTTACATACAGACATTTTGTTCTTCATGTAATAGGTAAGGGTACAACAACTTCATCGTATGGATAAAGGTTTTGGAATTGAAGGAGGTACCGAATAGGTCCTGATTTATTTTATATGTTTGTATGTTCTTTATCATACATTTAATAAAGTATTTCTCGTTTTACTAAAAAAAAAAAAGAAATTTTACGTCTTAAACATAATCAATAACAAGTAATGACTCTCTAATATTATAATTGTATAACATTTACTGTATTTCTATTATTTACAATTTTTATTTTCGATTTGTTTCATAAAAATTTATTGTTACATATTATATATACTCTAATAAATTTGATTTTTTTCATTTTATTACATAAAATTGACGTTTGCCAAACAATCTGCATATCCTTACGATCAAATAATGCACAACTTCTAACGCAAATTAAACTTTTTTTATTAATACTTTCATATTAAATTTTCGTAACAATTCCTCTACCATCATACCTTCGTGGCGTGAGTACTAGTGATTAAGTACTGTAAAATTGCCCTATCGATATTATTGTCCTTTCGATCATCATTAGTCAAATCCTTACTTATATCTAGAACATTGAAATACATTCTGAAGAGTAGGATAATTATTCTTATAATTTCGTAAATATTTTGCATTACGTACTTTCACTATTCCTCATCACTATCATGATTAAATTTTTATATCGTCAATTTTCTCAGCATCCTCACTTCTAACGTAATTAATCGCATCAATTTTCGTATCATTTTTGATTTTCGTGTGCTCGTATGTGCGACTAATCACGTAATTTCCAAGTTCCATCTGTATGTAGGTCGGACACGATTCTCTCTTTGATGATGGGTGATAATGATTTGTTGGGGTAGGAAGAACTCATGCATCCACCTGTTCGCGTTATTGAAGATAAAATTATAATCAAAATATGATTTATTTCTATACTATCGCAATAATACATATTTTAAACCTACCACGGCCATTTCATTAGATACTCTCATAACTTCTTCTTTTCTATAATTGATAATTCTTTTGCCCCTATTTTTGGCGGTCCATTTCCTTATATTTAAAGAACAACTTTTACACATTATCAAGTTAGATGATTATCAACACGATCTTCTTCTGATGGTATTAAATGCAAACCTATAATTGAAGCATGAAATTATAAATTAATCTTAGGAGATTTTATCATTAGTTTAAATATTATTATAGGTTAAATTACTATATGATTAGGCCAAATTAAACAGAGATTGCCTTAATAATTGATTGATTACCTTCAAATTAAACTCTTAATAAATTATTTGTAAATCCATTATTTTGTCCCAATACCATTTTTAATAGATAATGATAATATTCCTACTTCACGTTTTAACGCCAATCGGCAAACCTTCAGATCTTGTTCTCGTCCATTTTTCAATTTGGTAATATGTAATATGTAGCATCCGAAGAAATAGACCAAACGTGCATATATGATTGTTAAAAGAATTAGAAGCTGCTGCTATCAGTCCATTACCGATACATTACCATATTTACTATATTATTTTAATCATTGATTTTTTTTAAAAAAAAATTCGCGTGAATTTTTTCATATTGATTTCT